CATGGGCACAGACTGTTGGTATCCATGGTAACATTCTCTCACATGGGCACAGACTGTTGGTATCCATGGTAACATTCTCTCACACGGGCACAGTCAGTATTCCTTGGAACATTCTCTGAACATTAAAATCTTACAAATCAGGAGAACAGTATTTGAAATTTAAAAACCATTGAATCCTTTCAAAATGGTGGGCAGAATAGATAAAATGAAGCAGTTTTGGTTGAAGAAAGACTGGGGACCTGTCTCTCCCACTTGCTCCTGTGGCAGATGTGAGAAAGCTGTGGCTCTCTGAGAATTACAGCCTTCTGTGTGAGTGTATATATAATAGGTTTAATGAGTAGTTTTTGAGTCAGGTTTTTGGCTTTTAGGCAATCATTTAAAAAGAAAAATTGAAATAGTTTACCTCTTGACTTTTAAAATTTAACATAAAGTGTATCTCAGTTGTCACAGAACTTAGTTTAAAAGACTGAATCATTTATCCAGTGTGATTTGTGTGTAAACTTGACTTTGTTGGTTGAGGGGTGTCATAATTATGCTGGGTTAGAAACCACAAAGTTTCTTACTAACACTTGATAGGTTATCTGCTATTTCATTTGTATTTAATTTGTATAATGTGTACAATGATAGTCACTCTTTTTCTGTTTTGAAACAGGGATTGCTTGGCATTTTGTACAGAGCCAGTGTTTGCCAGTTTAGCCAATGTGCTTGGTAACTGGGAAAACCTGCCCTCTTCCATATCCCCAGACATCAAGGATTATAAACTTTATGATGTGGAGACTAAGTATGGCCTGCTTCAGGTATGTAGTTTCATTTAATATGAAACAAGTTTTTTCCTTACAATTTTTCGCTATTTCAAATTTATCTACCATGTAAACTGTTTTATGTAGTTTTGGCCCTTGACAATAATTTGAAAATTATTTCCGTAACTTAGAATTGTTGTTGTTGTTTTTATCATTAGGCTTAAGTTCTATTTTATGTACTCCCATAAACAAACAAACCAGGGTCTCACTATGTTGCCCTGATTGGCCTGGTACTTGCTATATAAACCAGACTAGCCTTGAACCACAGTGCCTTGCTAAGTTATTTTAAATATATGAAACTGATATATATATATATATAGTAACCTTTGAGGAAGGCCACTTATTGGCTGTTGGATAAGTTCTTTTTAATTCTTTTGAATCCTGTAAATTCATTTCATAAACAAAACTTTAAAAATGAAAATAAAGGTATTTAGTAAGAATAAAATAACTTTAAGGAAATTTAGAATATATTGAGAGATATTATTAGTCTTCTCATACATGCCTCAATTTTACGATTTTTTTCTCTGCCTTCCAGAGAAAGAAAACCTTTAGCTCCGTGAAGTAGACTCACTAGGAAATTCTGAGTTCCTCTGAAAGATTGTATTATTAAGTTTTGAAAACCGTTTCTGATTTACCACTGTGTGTTGAGTGGGGAGGGCATGTGTGAGGTCAGGGGACAGCTTGTGGGCATAGGTTCTCCCGTGTGTTCTGGGTAGAACTCGGCTCCCAGGTTCAGGTTTGGTAGTGAATGCCTTTACCCGAGGAGCGGTCATGCCCGCCTTCTGTACTTTTGATGTTACGTCCAGGACTGGAGAACTTCCGTCCTGAAATGTCTCCATTGTCTTTCTGAGAGCTCTGTAGTTTTTTGGTCATTAATACATTTTGAAATGGTTGATTTTGTTTTATTGGAGGTGGGGGACCCTGCAGTGTATCCAGGGATATTTTAAAGTGGAAATAAGATGATTTGCATATATATTATTTATTATTGAGACAGGGTCTTAGTTCGTAATCATGGCTGGCCTGGAATTTTCTGTGTAGACCAAGCTGGCCTTTGAATTCAACAGAGATCCCCCTGCCTCTGCTTCCAGAGTACTGGGGTTGTGGGTTGAAGACGTGTGCCACCATGGCTGGCTGACTGGCTAAAGTAAAAAGACAGAAAACCAGGATAACTCGGGCTTTTGTCCTTAGCAAATAGAAAAACAAGTGAGCATTAACTAGTATGGAAAGCATTCTAGGAGAAGTGAACTAAGTTTGGGGTAGAAACTCAGCTTCGGGTTGCTCTGAGAGTCAGGATTACAGGAGAGTGGAGGGGGGAGAAAGTGGTCAGGTACCGAAGTCTAGACGTGAACGGAGGCCCAGCGAGGTCCGCTGGGAACAGTCAGCAGGTGGGTGGAGGGGGAAGAAAGTGGTCAGGTACCGAAGTCTAGACGTGAACAGTGGCCCAGCGAGGTCCGCTGGGAACAGTCAGCAGGTGGGTGATGCAAACGTGAGAGCCCTAAAGAAACACCTGGGGGATAGAATCGAGGAGCCAGGAAAAGAGACCGGAAAAAGTGACTAGGAGAAAGACGGGGACAGAGGTTTCTTGGAAGTCTGAGAGCACTCCCTGGCCAGACCTTCCTGTACAGACAGCCTTCTGTTTGTTTACCGGACTCCATAGTCAGCTTCACACAGACATTACATTTAATCAGTGGGACAGTGGGTGCACAGTAAACATTTAAAAACTAAGCATAGTACTTACTACTTAGAAAAGTTGGATTTTAAAAATAAAGTGTAACTGCACAAAAATAGTAACCATCTGTAACTAAATGAGAATTCTTATGTTTCGAACTCCAGAAATGAATGAATTTAGGCAGCAGAAACTTCTCTTTCTGTTATTATAAAATGGAACTCTCCCCCCCCCCCTTTTTTTTTGAGACCGATTTCTCTGTAACCCTGGCTGTCCTGGAACTCACTCTGTAGACCAGACTGGTCTTGAACTCGGAGATCCACCTGCCTCTGCCTCCCAGAGTGCTGGGATTAAAGGTGTGTACCACCACACCCAGCTAGAAAAGGAACTTCTTAATAGATGGTTGCACTTGAGTTTTGTTGCAAGATTGCCCTCACGAGTTTGGTTGCTAGCTGACTTGTGAAAACTTGCTGGGGAGCCGGCAGGTCTTGTTCGATGTAAAGTCATTTTTTTCAGAGTAGTTTTGTTTGTTTTTCACTGCAGGTTTCTGAAGGCTTGTCGTTTCTGCATAGCAGTGTGAAAATGGTCCATGGGAACGTTACTCCTGAAAACATAATTTTGAATAAAAGTGGAGCCTGGAAAATAATGGGTTTTGATTTTTGTGTGTCATCAAGCAATCCTTCTGAACAAGAGGTAATGATGGCTTTACTGTTGGATTTGTTTTAAATCCTGGAAATCTGTGGTAGGCTCTGCAACGAACTAGAACATGTCAGGCAGTCTGGTAGAGTGTGAGACTCGATGATGGTGTACTGGTACGTCTAACTCTAGAGAGAACTCCTGGGGTTGGTTGTGCCTGAGAGTATTCTCCAGATGATTAATTCTGTAGCTGTCTCGAGCAGTCGACTTAGTTAAACAGGAACTTCTTCCTTAGAAATCTAAATATACAAACTGATGTTGTAACTCTTAACACCAGGTGCCTGTTTGTGAGAATATGGGATCTTCCTCAGGGATCACAGAGGCAATAACGGTGATTATGTGCTGACATTTATTGAAGTATTTTATTAATTTAAGAAATTGGTTGAATTTGACCTTTGGCAATACACACGTGCATAGATCACATTCTGTTTGTTCTCATCTCCTTTTATTTTCTAAGGTTCCAGCGTTTACTTATTTAACCTGACAGTAACTCAGTGTGGTATGGGGACAGTGCCTTTAGGTGGGTGCTGAGTGTGCAGCTGGGATGGGGGCCCCACTTCTCTGCCCCCAAGCACTGGTTTCCCAGGGATTCAGGGCACCTGTCCATTCACACTTAGAAACACTGCTTTAGGCAGCCATGCCCTGCGTTGATTGGTTCCTTACGACATCGAGTGGGACAGGGCTCCTGTTACAGCTTAGGTGTTTATCGGATGCATTTTCTGGATTTGGTGATTTGGGAATTTTAGAGTTAAAGGTGGTAGTGGCATTTTCACTTGCTTGACTCAATACAGATTTTTGTTGTTGTTTATTTTTTGAAACAGGGTTTCTCTGTATAGCCCTGGCTGTCTTGGAACTCACTCTATAGGCTAAGCTGGCCTTGAACTCAAGAGATCCACCTGCCACTGCTTCCTGAGTGCTGGGACTCAAGGCTTCACCACCACACCTGGCCGGTCAATGCAAATTTAAAAATAGTAAAGCCTTCGCTTGACATTCTGACCTTGTCATCCTGTTTCTGTCTTCTTACAGCCCAAGTTTCCTTGTAAAGAGTGGGACCCAAACTTACCATCATTGTGTCTTCCAAATCCTGAATACTTGGCTCCCGAATACATCCTCTCCGTGAGCTGTGAGACAGCCAGTGATATGTATTCTTTAGGAACTGTTATGTATGCTGTCTTTAATAAAGGAAAACCTATATTTGAAGTCAACAAGCAAGATATTTACAAGAGTTTCAGTAGACAGTTGGATCAGGTATTTCTCTATCAGTACTTGTTTACATGTTTCCTCAGCTTTTTTTTTTCTAAAATACAGACAGAAAATTCTTAAAAATATATTTATTAATTTTTTAAGAATTTCATAGATTTTGATCATATTCATTCCTTTCCTTCCCCTGAATCTTCCCAGATCCACCCCATCTTCCCAACTGTCCTCACAACTCATGTTCCTCCTTTTTTGATTTTTAGTAACCCATCAAGTTTGGTTTGTGCTGCCCATGTACTCAAGGGTACATGCTCATCCATTGGCATGTTACAGGCATGTTACAGACATGTCAGGGGCCATCCCTAGAACAGACTTCCCTCTCCCAGCAGCAGCTGTGGCTCCTGGGAGACGGGTGAGGGTGTAGGAGTCCTCCTTCCACATGCTGGAGTGCTGACTGGCTCGATCTCGCGGATTCCTGTGTAGGAGATGGCGTCTGCAGAACCTTCCTAAAAGTACTTTGTGTAAAATCAATTCAGGAAAAATAATTTCTGTAAAGGTTTCTGAAAGCTGGTCATTACAACTTTCATCATGGCATTTTCTAGAGAATCTAAAATGCTGCCCATCTTACTTTAGCAGTGGAAATACTTTCCAGTATTAAAGACGTTTTTAGCTATTTTGGAAGAAGAGTTAGTGTTTGTGCAGTCAACAGACTGACTGAGGAGAACGTCTGTGCTCATGTGTTTTTCTCTTTTGAATAGTTGAGTCGTTTAGGATCTAGCTCCCTTACAAGTATACCCGAGGAAGTTCGAGATCACGTGAAACTGTTGCTAAATGTCACTCCGACTGTAAGGCCCGACGCAGATCAGATGACAAAGGTGAGTACAGCTAGGTTCGTAGTGGACGGTGGGCGGAGACTGAGAATGGAAGACAACGACGACGTAGGAGAGACGGACTCCGCGTCACTTGGTCCTTAGATGCTGGCTGGGTTCTTGAATGCACTAAAACTTGAGCTTTTAGCGTGAAATAGCTAAATAATTGATGCACATAGTTGTGAAGAAAACTAAGATTTTAAATGCACAGAAATCCTGATACTCACAATTGGAGAGGCAGACATTCTGGATGCCCAGAGAAGTCAAAGCATAGTCTTTAACTTAGCAGATAACTAGTACTCCTCATGCTTCCAAGGTATTTTATTTTAAACAGTTTATTTATTTTTAATGGTGTATCTATGTGTGTGTGTGTTCGTCCGTCTGTCCGTGTGTTCGTCCGTCTGTCCGTGTGTGTGTGTGTGTGTGTGTGTGTGTGTGTGTGTGTGTCTGCCTGCCTGTGTGAAGGTGTGGGTGTGTGTGTCCGTGTGAAGGTGTGTGTGTGTGGTGTCCCCCCTCCCTCCCCCTGTGAAGGGGTGTGTGTATGAATTCAAAAGTTGCCTGATGTTTATTCTGGGAATTTAACTCGTATCCTTGGGAAGGCAATGCATGCTCTTAACTGGGGAGCCATCTTCCCAGACTCAGTTCTCAAGCTGTTTGAAATTTCAGTATTTACAAATAATGTTACTGCTCAGCTGACTCACAGGTACTGCTGATTTGAATTTGAAAAGTTACTTATTTGGAGTTTTCTAGTTAGAATTTTTTTAATGTAATATTTAGAATATTGCTGAATGTTTTTGAATATTTTTTCACTTTGTTGTAGACATTTTAGATATGAGTAATTTTAACTGAATATTTATCAAAATAAGTGATGTCCATATTTTTAGATTCCCTTTTTTGATGATGTTGGTGCAGTCACACTTCAATATTTTGATACCTTATTCCAAAGAGATAATCTTCAGAAATCACAGTTCAAAGGATTGCCAAAGGTTCTACCAAAGCTGCCCAAGGTTTGTTACCAAATATTTTTTTTTTTTTACTTGGGAGATTTTTATTTAATGTTTATGTGATTTTCTATAAACCACTCTTCCAAAGACATAAAACAACTTTACCTGAGCTACATAAATGACAGTAACATACTACAAACTAAAGCCAAAGCTTAGTTATGGTACAAAAATAAATAGGATTTAAAAAATTAGGATGCTAGCCAGCGGTGGTGGCGCACGCCTTTAATCCCAGCACTCAGGAGGCAGAGGCAGGCGGATCTCTGTGAGTTCAAGGCCAGCCTGGTCTCCAAAGCGAGATGGACAGGTACCAAAACTAAACAGTGAAACCCTGTCTCAAAAAACAAAACAGAACAAAAAAATTAGGATGTTGCCTGCGTTAAGGCTACCTGCGCTGGACATTCCGTGTCCATAAAGATGGAAACTGTAAACACCGCCAGTGGAGCCCACTGCCTCATCCGCAGTTAGGGATGCATTGGTGTTGGTGCAAACCTCCCCGGTTCAGACCTCCCCAGTTCCTTCACTGGTTCTCTGACTTACTAAACAATGAATGCAAACTCTTATTAAAGACAGTGATGAGGCCAGGTCTGGTAGCGCACGCCTTTATCTTCACTCCCAGCACCTGGGAGGCAGGGCAGTGGGTCTCTGAGTTCTAGGCCAGCCAGACTACGTAGTGAGACCCCATCTTTAAAAGAAACCATAGTCGATGAATGCTAAGGAGGGCGCTATGGTAAAACTATGAATTCCTGACTAATCAAAGCTTCCCCAGTCGCAGCCATTGGCTGTCTACCCTTTACGTAGGCTCTTTGGAGAGTGAACAGAAAAGTGTCGTCATTCCTCCCGAGGCCATTAGACTAAACAGAGGCAGGGTTGCCATCTGTGAATTGACAGAAAGTCAGGATAACGCTATTAGCTAGGTGATAGGAATCAGTAGTGATGGCAGGATTAAGAGGAGAAACACTGTCAGTGGACACTAGTTAGGGATTTGCTAATGGTGGAAGGATGATCATGTATCCCGTTTTTCTCCTGATAGTGCAAGCCTGTGCTGTTTTATTGTAACTAGCAACAGACTCTTATTTTTTCTCTAAAAATGTTTGTTTCAGCCATGAACTTGATGGCCACTTCACACTGCAGTGTAAATACTGAAATTCTGAAATACGTTTGTTTTAGAAGTTTCTATTTCCCCTTTCAGCGTGTCATCGTGCAGAGAATTTTGCCTGCTTTGACTTCAGAGTTTGTAAACCCGGATATGGTCCCCTTTGTTCTGCCTAATGTTTTACTGATTGCTGAAGAATGCACCAAAGAAGAGTATGTCAAATTAATTCTACCTGAACTTGGTCCTGTATTTAAACAGCAGGAGCCAATCCAGGTATGTTGTGAGTACTTCTGAATGTTCATACAGTTCTAGTGAGAACTACCACCACTAAAAACAAATCGGTGACCTTTTGAGCTTTTGAAAATTAAGTTGCCAGGCGGTGGTGGCGCACACCTTTAATCTCACCCAGCACTCGGGAGGCAGAGGCAGGCGGATCTCTGAGTTCGAGGCCAGCCTGGTCTACAGAGTGAGTTCCAGGACAGCCACGACTACACAGAGAAACCTAATCTCAACAAAACAAATAAAAACTGAGTAAGTAGGGGCTAGAGAAATGGGTTAGCACTTAAGAGCACTGGCTGCTGTCTCGGAGGACCTGGCTCAGTTCCCAGCACCCACATGGTAGTTCACACCATCTGTAACTCCTGTCCTAGTGGATCGAAGTCTGGATTCTGGGAGCCAGACACAGATATAAATTCAGGCGTAACACCCATATACATCAGATAAAAATAAATTAAAATTTTAAATGATTAAAAAAATTGAGGTAAGTATAAGTTTTTTTCACTAGACAGAAAGTTACTTGGCATACATTTGAATCATTGCTAAGATAATTAAACTTAGCAAATGAGTGTCTGTGGCTTTCATTCTTAGAAAATAAATTGTAATCAAATTGTGCATGTGTTACATAGTTCCTAATTGAAAGATAGCAGTTGGAAAAATATGTTTCTAGTTTTAGATGTTTTTATTTGGTTTGCTATTCCAGTAGTGAATTGGCAGATGATTTGTTTCAGTTGTTTCTCTTTATTTTTTTGCTAATAAACTTTCCTCTAGGAATATGTGTGTGTGTGTATGTGTATGTATATATATAAAATCTGTGTATCCATGTGAAAAATGCAAATTCTATATGTAATGTGTATGTGTAAGTGAAATAAATTATATAGGTTTTATTACAGTATATATTTGTCAGATGTTGTCTTAAGTTTAAGAACAGTGGGATTGCATACCTGGATTTGGATATGGGTTTATCTCCTTTCTAGAATACGTATTAGTCATTATCATGGGAAAGCTGTTGCTGTCCACATTTCTGAAGTGTCGAGTTGTGGGCAGATACTAAATACCATTAGGTGTTTGCGCTGCTGGGTGATGGTAGCTTAGTCATCAGCTGTTAATTCGGATGCAATGGCGCTGTGATGCTTTGTAGATCTTCCTTGAAAACGCAGCATTTGTCTTTATTTTTTTAAATGAACATGTAAGGTGTTAAATATCATCAGGATGCCTTTGAGCAGCATGCCTTTGAGCGATCCTCCTCTTCCATCCCCCAGCTATTCCTGTCCCCCTGTTTTGAGATGGGGTTCACCACGTAGCTCTGACTCACTTGACACTATGTAGCCCAGGCTAACCTCAAACACTCCCCTGCCTCTGCCTCCTGAGTGCTGGGATTAAAGGTCTGCTACGAGGCCTGCTGCTGGTTCTTCTTGTGGTTCTCCCCCAGTTTCTCTTCCTTAAAGAGGGGACTCTAGAAGGCAGGCTGTGGGGGTGTTCCTCCGAACCAGGGAAAAGTCACAGGGCAGAGGCATAAGCTTTAAAGCAGGGCTCCCTTCGGTTGTCACGGTGTCGCGAGGAAAAGTTGGTGGCATTACACTACCTAAATTGTTCATCAGTCGTGGTACAATCCAAAGACGCATGATCTCAGTCCCCATTTGACCCCATTCTTTTTATGATGGTAAAGTTTGTGGTTGGTCGGATACTGTGTGGACTCTCCGAGAAGAGACTCTCACTGTGACAGTTGGCAGATCAGGTTCTCCTGGGGCTGTGCTTATGTGGGCAACAGCAACATTTCATGGGCTATGTCCTGTGCCAAATGAAAAGGGGAGAGCTGAGCCACTGGCAAGCAGTGTGTCTGTCTCTGTCTGTCTGTCTCTCTGTCTGTCTCTGTCTATATGTGTCTGTGCGTCCGAATGTCCTGTGCCAAATGAAAAGGGGAAAGCTGAGCCACTGGCAAGCAGTGTGTGTGTGTGTGTGTGTGTGTGTGTGTGTGTGTGTGTGTGTGTGTGTGTGTGTGTCTGTCTGTCTGTCTGACTGACTGACTGACTGACTGACTAGCTTGTGGGGCGTTTACCCACCACCCCCACAGCTTCCCAGAGTTTTCTTGAGT